AATATAAAATTTATATTTGATTTATTTAGAATAAATCAATCATATAAAAATAGAAAGATTATTAAATAAAAATTTATTTCAATTAAATCAATATACAATTTATTATTATTTAAATATAAAAATAAATGATTTAAATCAATATGAAATAAAACGAAATTATTCATATAGAACAATTGATTTATTAAATGAAACTTATCAAAATATTTTATGTTATTTTATTGAACAAAATCATTTTATATCATATGATTTATATTATAACAATTTAACATTTATTATATTCATATTTAATTATATCTTTAACAAACTATTCAATATATATTTATCATAAACAAATATATATACAAACAACAGAAACAATTTATAATAATCAACCACCAATTAATATTTATTTAAAACGATTATTTATTATCTCAATTAATACATTAGATTAATTATTTAAATTTTTATTAGAATCATCATTAGTAACAATACATTTATCGGATCATTTATTTTATTTATTATATTATACAACTAAAAATATTGATTTAGCTTAACAAATTAAACAAATATCGTTTCAAGCTAATATTGATTATAGTTTAGTTGATAAACATTTGTTTAAAAACTATTCAAACAACACAATATATTATTGATCAATCTACAATTGATATTGTTATTAATTATTTTCAAAGATTATTTATGTCTGATGATGAATATATTAAATTAATTAAAAGAGTAGCAACATCAGCTAGGATTTAACAATTGACATTTTTCTTTAATTTATCAAAATAAAAACTTGATTAAAATTAATTAAAAATATTTTCATTGAATAATCTCTTCAATGTTTCGCGTACATAGAGATGTGTGCGACCGAGAGAGTATGACTGGGGCCAGAATTGGTACTAGGATTAGATCAGTTTTACTCGGACTATGGTCAGTACCGGTCCGAGATAAGAACTATGAAGGTCATACTTATTGTCTTGGCCTGGTCCCGATCATAGTCTTGGTAAACTGGTCTAACTCTGACTCCAATTGCATCCCGGTCCCACACATGCTCCGTATGTATTTAACAAAGTAGCAAAAAAATTATCAATTCTATCAGGAGTGTTCATTGCGGCGATGCACAAGTTTTTCTTTTCTATTATCGCAGTAGTTTTTTTAGACGTGATGAATAGTCCTGTTTTCTAATTGAATAATAAATAACTTTTTTTTAAATTGTTTTCCTCAATGAATCAAATCAATCTCAAGATATTCAGTCATCATCATCATAAACTAATGTCAATAGTCTTTATCTTAATACTCTTCAATCTATTCTTGATCGTCTTATAATTAATGGTTTTCATGCTCCTTTAAATTGTCATTTAAAATTTTTAACTTATCTTTTTAAACAAAATTTTTCTCAAGCAACATCATTAATACGTTTAAAACTTTGTTGTAATATAATTGATTTTGTTTGCTCATTTTATTATTCATATTGGCCATTATCATTTACACAAAATGATATAGATCCATTAATATCTTTTATTAATTATGATCGTATTCATAATCATCTTCAACAAGTTTATTAATTCCTTGATCATCTATAAATAAATGGCAATTAATCAATACAGTTAATAAAATTTCTTTACAAAATAATCAATCAACATCAACAACAACAAATAACAATGAAACAAGAACAAATTCAAAATGATCATCATCATCATCAATAGATCATCAATGTAATTTATATGATAGATGTCTACGACAAATGATATTATTAATAAGAAAATTAATGGAAAATATAAATCAAACAATTGATCAACAACGTAAACGTTTTAAAAATGAAGAAATAAATATAAATAAAAATGATATTGAAGATGAGCATTTTGATGATATACTTTAATAAATTTATATTGAAAAACTTCTTTCAATACTTTAATTATGTCATTCATCACTTTATTCATCACTATCAATATCATTAAATTTATCAACAAAATATCTTCCTGCATCAATAACATAAACAAATCAATATTCATCATTTATACATAGAACAATAGATTTTTATTTAAATTATTTAATATCTCTTGGTGATACTATTTATTATTGTTTATCATCATTTATATCACAAGCAAATTATCTTTTAACAATAATATATCATTATTTAACAACAACATCCATTATTATCATCACCATTATTATTATTTATTATTTATTCAATACATAATACAAATATATTAATTGAAATATTAAATCAATATAAATTTCTTGATTTATTAGTTAATTATTTAATAATTTATTCAAATTATTTATCAAATCAAACAAAAATACCATCAATACAACCTATTTATGATAAAAGAGAATCATTAAATAATAGAATAAATATTGGTTCAATTAATTTATCATCACTATGTCAAATAACATGTTCAAATCCAAATTCAAGATCACCTTATATATTAATACAATCAAATAATAATCTTCAAACAACAACAACAACAACAATAACATCATCATCATCATCACGTCATTTACGTTCACCACCATGGTCATATAGATATTTACCTAATCAACAACGTTCTACATTAACATAACAATTTTCATATTCAATTATATTTAAATCAATAGAAATAATACCATTTACACAATTATCAATTAATCATTATAGAATACATTGATCAATTAAATAGAAATTTAAGACAATATCGATCATCAATAACATGTTAAATATCTGATAATGGTTATTATTTTATATCATGTTCACATTTATTAAATATACAAGGACAACAAATAATTAATTTATCATTAACAAAACAAATTTATATTGTTAAACAATTACCTATACATTTTTATAAACTAATCTTATCATTATAGAATTGATTTAGAACAAATATCAATATATGTTTATTAATGCATATGATTAACAAATTATTATTGAATAAATAACTCATCGATATCAAAGATTAATATCAACTGTTTATGGTAACACAAATATTAAATAATAAATATAGACAAACATCAATAATAACAAGATTAAATGATGATAATTATATTAAATAAATCTATTCATTAATAAAATCATCATCAACAATAAATAGATATATAATTGATAATAGTCATCAAATATTAATTATATTATCAGATAAATATCGTTAATTTAATCATTATTTACAATTAATAGATTTATCTTTAACAAAATTCATTTATTTTAAATAATTATTTATTTGAAAAATTTTTCTTTATACTTAAAAATACATTTTTTCATATAAATAATTTTCTTTTTAATTATATATTTATTGTTATTGATAATTATTCTACAAATAAACAATTTGATTTATTTATTACATATTTAATTAATTATAATCATTTTAATATTTTATTAGAATTATATTTTAATGAAAATAATATTGAATATTTAATTTATTATATTAATTTATTAATTAGTCAACAAAATAAAACAAATAATTAATTATTTTTTATGGAAAATAAAGCAAGAAAATAATATTAACACTTGATGATTATTTATTAGAATATTTATTTAAAAATTATTCATCGTTATTACCATCAATAGAATATCATAACACCATTATTAGTTATTAATTATATTAAGAATAAATTAAACATTTTTTTTATTATTTTAAACAATTATAAATATTTTCATTAACTCTTGAATTTCTTAATGAACATATTAATTAATGATTATTTTATTAAATCAATTGAAGAATTAAATCAACAAATTCAATATATATATCAAATAAAACATCAATTTATTTATTTATTTATCATCAACTTTATTATTTAATTAAAATAAATAAATATTCAAATCTACACATATGCTTTTCAAAAATAATAATTCCATCAAATATATCGAAATATTTACTTTATATATTTTATAATTCAAATATATCATCATTTATACAATCACCATCGATTTTATTAAAATGATTAATAACACTTTTAACAAATCTTATCTATACAATCTACAACAAATCAAATAAATATCTAATTAATATCATCATATTTACCTTATTGAACTGAACAACTTCTTTAACAACGATCGTCCATTAAATCGATATTCACAATATATATTAACGTTAACGTTCTACTTTAACATGAATATATACAATTCTTTAATAAATACACCTTATTATCAAATAAATATACGTCAATATTCATCTTTCAAAAAAAATTCACTTTATCATAAATTAATTCAAGATTATTCAATATCAATCAATATTCGACAATTAATTGAAAAATTATTTTCTTTTTATTATTTACACGCTAATATATGGACAACACAAAAAATTATATTAAAAATAAAAATTATTTAATAAAACCATCAAGTCAACCAATAAATAATAATCATAGAAGAAAAATACCATCAACTGAATCAGTTTATATTAAGATCAACAATACAAGGAAACACTAACAACAACAATCAATAAATTCATTATCAATATTTAACTAAAAATCAAAATTTATCATCAAAATTAACAACAAATTAATCATCAATTTCAAAGAAAAATTCAACAATATTACCTATAGAAAATCTACATTTTATTTTACATATTAATTGACAAAAAAAACAATGTATTTTACCAAAAACTACACGATTAACTGATTTATTATTATCATTTGATTGTCGATCATAAAATATTTATGAAATTGATCTTATAGAATTTACTTTTTATAATCATTTTTTAATTAATGATGGTTAAGTAAGTTGAGAAGAAAAAAATTTGTTTTTTTTTTTTTTTTTTGGAATGCTTAATTAATTAAGAAATATATGATTATGAAACAAATAAGTTATGTCAAAGAATTTCGAATGTTTTATATCAATAACTGATTTTAGAATAACAAATTTCATAAATGAAAAAAAAAAGTGATCTCATGTTTTTGTTATTAAAATAGCTTTCAGAGACATTTTAGCGAAGAGTACAATTGACAATCTATATATATTATCTTCAGTGTCTTTCTATGATGGATCAAAGGTTAAAGGTCAAATAAGGCTAGAAGCGGAAGGCCAAAGAACTACTTTATTAGGATACCCATAGCTCGTCAACGACTATTATATGGGGACACCCACCCATAGGTCCTCCAGGGCTATCCTATCGGAGTATCCATAGGTTCTTAAGGACTACTATATGGGGATACCCATAGGTCTTTAACGACTATTATATGGGGTACGCATAGGCCCTCAAGGGAATAAAGCAGTAAGAAGATAGGTAATAAGGGGTAAAGCAATAAGGAGATAAGGCTAGAAGAGCTACAAGCAAGGGGGAAACAGCTGAAATCAGATTTTTTTGACTTAAATCAATTGATTTTAAATCAAAAAAAATCAGAAAAGAAAACAAAAAAATCAAAATAGAAATCAGAAAAATCGAAAAATCAAACAAAAAATAAAAAACATCACGGAAATCAATAAAATCTAATTTCAGCTGCTGCACCCTTGATTGATGTTTTGAACAACAGAGATTAAAGATTTTTGTTGATTTTTTTTGATTTAAATCAAAAAAACCAGCTGTTTCCCCCTTGGCTACAAGGGATAGAAGGTATAAGGCCAAATGCTACCTGGACTATAGAAATATGTGCGATATAAAAGTATCAGGCCGTAGGACTATCTATCTATATAGATGATATCGGGTGTCTGTATGTCTGTTACCGGATGAAAAGATAAACGTCGTAAGGTCATGCGTTAAAGGAGAAAACAGCCGTGCAGTATGCACGGGTTCTTGCTATATTGAAATATTGCTTTTGAAATGAAATGTATCTTATTAAATGGGTATCGAACTAATTTTCTAGAAAAAAAAAAAAACTTTTGATCGATTTTTATAATGAAAAGGTGTCAGATATAAAAGTTTTGAACTAGAAGAGAAGATCAGGAATGTTTAGAAAAAAGATCCTACTCATATTGTGTTAATCTGTAGAAAATCACTAGATAAGTATATTCTTCCTTTTTATTATAATTTGATCAATATCTGAATAATTCAAATCTAAATTAAAAAATGAAGAATATTTCGAAGATCTTTAAAAAAAAACAAAAAATTTAAATCTATTTAGGAAAATGAATTAATTACACATAAATCAATTGTTGCAAATAAAGATTATCCAAGATTACTTTATAGATTTGTTCATGGAAATGGTCTTAAAATTCTTCCAGAAAATTTTGCTCGTAATTATCCATTAATAGAATCATATGATCAATGTTTAACAAGATCATCATCATCATCAAATAGAAATATATTCGATAAAAAAAATTTCTTTGATTTTTCATCATTAGTTTCAACATCATCATCAACAAATTCTTCAAATAATATGACAATACCATATTATCTTTTTATAACATTTTCAATATTTCTTCGTTTACCAAATTATGCACGTCCTATGTTAAAAAATCGTTCACTTCCATCTTATATAATACGTTTAATGCTTGGACAAAAAGAATCAATAACAAATCAATATCAAGATGAAACACAACAAGAACAACATCAAGATAATTTTGATATGCGTCAATTATCAGAATAACCATTTTAAACATTATCAATTTTACTTAAACATTTATCAAATAATTTATTAGATGAAATTTTACATTAAACTATATTACTTTTATTACTTTCATGTTTATCATCAATAACACCTCATCCACATCGTAAATAAATATATTTAATATCAATATCATTATCTTTTCTGTCAACAACAACAATAAATAATCAAACAATAATTGATGATAATTATGATAATTATGATCAATATTATCAAGATGATATTGAACAAATTGAATCAATAACAATAGAACAATTAAATAGAATTAATAATAATAATAATAATACTAATACTAATTTTTGGGCTAAAGGTACAGATTTTGGTAGAGGTTAAACACATTCACAATGGACAACCAGATGAAATAATTCAAATAGAAAAATAACATGAAGAACATTTTATTTATTTGATATATTTTATTGAATATTTTAAAATAAATTATCTTAAGAATTACTTGATGATTATTTAATTGAAATAATAAATAGATCATCTATTATACCACTACTTTAATCATATTTACGTAATCATTTTATATTGTATATATATATATATATAAACAAGATTATATAGATCGTTATTGTTTACCTTTAGTTAATTGTTTATTAAATAATGATAAATTAACAAAATTTAATTTATTATACAAGTTATATTGAATATTTAATTGATAATATTTTACAATGTATACAACACATATAGATCAATGATAGAAATTGATGATGATCAACAATTATATTTATTTTCAATTGAATTAAAACAAGTTTATTATAAAATAAAACAACGATAAACAAATTGAAAATAATTATCAACAAGAATTTAATTTAAATAATAAATATTAATTAATAACATTAGAAGAATTTTATTGTCATTTAATGAAATTATTACAATTTAGTAGATATCCAATAACAATTGAAAATGAAACAAATTATTAAATAATATTTAATAATAAATTAATATATCATTATGAAGATATTCTACCTGATGCATTAACAATAAATTCAATGCAAAGAATAAAACGTTTAGCACAAGAACAAATAACTATATCAACATCATTATCATTATCATTTAGTTCAACAATATTTCTACGTTAAGATGAAAATCGTATGGATATTATTAATATATTAATAACAGCTCCTGATAGTATACCATATTCAAATCGATCTTTTATATTTTATGTTTATTTTCCAAATGAATATCCAACAACACTACCATCAATTAATTTATAAACAATAGGAAATCATAGAGTTAGATTTAATCCAAATTTATATAATCATGGTAAACGTTTGTTTACATATATTAAATACATGGCATGGTAGACCAGAAGAAAAATGGAATGCAACATCAACATTTTTACAAGTTATTTATAAATGAATTTTCATTATTAAACAAATAGTAATAAATTACTTGTGAGATAAATTTTAAAAAAAAGAATAAAATCATTTCAATATTTCGAAGTAGGAAAATTGTACGTTTATTTTTTAGGGAAAGTATAATGATATTAGAAAAAAAATCATAAAAGATTATTATTGATGATTTTTTAATTATCCTCATTGGGTGTGGGTGAAGAAAAGAACAAGAGCCACACACACACCCATGCACAGACCCACACTCACACCCCTTTTTCTCGATCATTACTTTTATCTCGAGGAATAACAACAACAAGTACAATTGATAGTAGTCAAAGCACATGTTCTCCTCCACGATCATTAATAGTCGTTCCAGAATAATCATCAACTCCTTTACTTGCTTCATCTATTTATTAAGAATCTCATCAAACAGGAGACAAGGTATTGATGTCTTCACCAAAATCAAAGATGATAGGATGGACAAAACGAAAATTAGTTGTAGTCTACAACAATTAATCAGATGATAAATGCAATGATTTCCTTTTCTCTTTTTGTCATGTTTTCATTACAAATCTTCACTTAATTGATATGAAATTCGAGATGTCTAACTTCTCAATTACCGATCATGATATTCAGAAAAAGTGTTTCGATTTTTACTCCTGTGACAATATTAAACTAGAATTAAAAAGAAGTAATAAATAGATGATTATCACAGATGATCGAAACGGGAGAACGAACAAAATGATAATTAATAGCTAATATTTCACGGCATGAATATGTTAAAGTGATTGATTAAGATTTACCAACAAATGCTATTAAATATGATATTCAATCCTCACATACAAAATGTACTTTAATCTATTCCAATAATTCATATAAAACAACATATTACTTTTATAATTATATATCAATGACTATGAATAGACAATCGATTTGCTTTGTTTTTATTTATTCAACTATTTCAAATGAGATAAATAAATTAATCTTTATTGTTATATGTCATATTTACCAAATGTAAAACTTAAACATCTTTTTAAAGAAAAAACAATCCAAAGTTAATAAGTATTTCTAATAAATAATGCTTGGTCAGTATGGTTCGATTGTAAAAATACTATTAATAAATTTTCATTATTTATTTCTTATTTATTTAGTCAGAAGAAAAACAAGCTTATAACAAAGGAAAATAAGCATTGAAATCTTTTGAACGTTCTATTTTTTCATTATCGATATCTAATTCGTTCACTTTCATACAATTGCGTCGTGTTATATATCTTGTAAAGTTTTCTGTCACAACATATAAATGACCATAAAAAACTGTTAACTTGGTTAGAGAAGGTAGATGTGTTTTTGTCTCATTGAGAAATTGCTCGACATAATCAATATGAGCACTTTCAATACAAAGCCAAATAAGATGTGGATATTTAACAATTGAATTTAATTGATTATCATTAGAGTTCAATTGTTTTGATATTTGTGACGGTGACATAAAATTAATAACACATAAATGTTCAAGTAAAGGAAAAGACCAAGCAATTCGATTGAAAAATTCATGTTCAAATGCAACTCTATCGTCCACCGTCAATCTTTTAATATGACTGAAAATAATACTTGGAAATGTGTTACCAATATATCCGAGATAATCAAACATGAACGGTACTGAAGAAACATGACATACACGATGATAATCTCCATATTGTACCATACAGTCCACTTTTTGATATATTGTGTTAGGAAAAGTTTCTTGAATATCATCTTTAGATAAACGATGAACTAAATCATCCATTTTAATCTCAGTACAAATACAAAAGTTGAATATATGAAGTCGTGGCACATGAGAAAGAATTTCATTATAAATGTGAGTACCATCGATAAATGCAGTTCGATTATCGATAGTAAGATACAAAGTTAATTCTTCAAGATTTGACATACGACGAAAAAGAGGTAGTATTTTAGTATTATATATAGTAGCATCGCACTCAGACGTTGTTGTTAAAGAGAAACATTTTAAATAAGGTAGATCATCCTAGAAAATATAAATCAATATTAAGAAATATATTATTTGAGATTAAAATAAGAAATTGTTTCGATAAACAATTGATTGAAAAGTTCTATTCTATTTAATCCATTTTTTAGATATTTCTTCTATGATATGATATATACATCTACTTCTGCAATGTTGACTCAAATAATTATATTGTATTTCTAAACTTTCAGAGCATAACAAATAATAAATACTGAGATAACTGTTGAATCAAACAAATGTTGCTTCTACTAAAATCTTCACATAAAACTCATCAGTTCACAATAAATGAAAGTTAGTCGGACTTACTTTTTCTGTCATTTTTTTTCTATATTTAATAATCTTCATCTCTTCTCACTCAGTATTCACGAGTCTTTTGCTTTTTCACTTTCCTTATTGCTCTTCACATTTACAGTCTTTAATATTCATGTTTCTTGTAGTTTTTCTATATTATAAGACAATGAAAATGACTAAATAGAAAGCAAAAAAAAAAAAAACCAAAGATTGTTTCCAACTGAGAAAGAACAATTAGACAAAAATAAGTTTAATCTCTTATCGAGTTCTCGAAGACTTAGACATATTTTCAAAATCTCCAGAAGATAAACACTGTCGCTCTTATTTTTAAAACATATCGTTTTTGAATAGAAAATGATAGATAACCAACAGATCTAAAACTCAACAATTTATTTGTTAAAATAAAATTCAATTATTCGGTTTATTTTGCTCAAACTGACTTATACCGACGAAATAGTTAATAATTTAAGAAAATATCATATACAAAACTAATTCTATCTGCCTATCAAATAGATGTGTATCCACCATTTGACAACTATTTCATTACAGTTGATTCAATTAAACAATAATTTATTAGGCAAAAAAACGTCTATCTATAATAATATGAAAACAATTATTACTCTAATCAATGGTAATTTTTTCAAGTTGAAAAGATTAATTTAATAAAATGTAAACTTACCCTATTGTATACATTCGATGAACGAAGTCGCATTTTAATAATATCAACAATCAAGATTCTTAATTGTTTGAAACGACCATCAAGTACAGCAAGACAATCTGCATAACTTCTCACACGAATACGTAATTTGTTAAGAATTGAAGAGACGATGGTTGAAGGTAAATTATAATATTGTAAACGTGGAAAAGAACAGAGAGATGATCCAATAATAGATAAATGTTTTAGATTTTCGAAGAATTTCATAATATATCCATACATATTTATTGAATAATGTGCTAATGTTTCATTAAGACAGTTTTTGAATACAAGAGTAAGATCTGTAATTTGTCGTCGAAAAGTATCTCTAAATGGTCCTTTATCTAAACAAATGCATAAACTGTTATTGTCTAGTCTACCTATCCAACAGTATTTTATCTAATTTTTTTTTACTGCTTCATACGTAAGTTAATTACCTGTAAAATAACGTGAAGCAATTTCATTATTAAAATTAAAGAGTTTAAGTTCAGTTAGATTAGGATAATTGGCAGAAAGAAGAATACGTTCCATAGATACTGAATCAATAGTAAGAGATTTAACATTGTGAGGAATTCTTGGCAAAATATTTGTGCAAAATCGATCAACTATTGTATAACTAATCGAGGAAATATCATTAGTAAATGTTGTTAATACAAAATTGAGAGTATTAGAGAAAATATTTTCTTGAGCTATAATGTCAAGTTGTTGATTATCAACATCCAACAATGAATAAAGAACATCCATATTGTCGAGCTTTTTTAAAATGATAAGTAATATTTCATTTGGTAAATCAAGAAGGCCAACGTTAGATTGATTCATGTTGAATTTGACTAATATTTTTCTTCTTATGGATGTAAATTTATATATGCTCATTGTTTGTTAATGCCGACTGCTATGATTGAATAGAATGAATGGATGACCTCGATGAAAAAAATATAGCGTGAATGAATGCATAGTCCAATTAATTTACGAATGCATATTTACACTACTTGACAAAAGTATCCCCCCTCGGATCTCAGTCCATACAAGAGCTGAGCCGCTGAAAATAGGTGTGCAGTAGTAGCGTAACCAGAGGGGGGCAAGGGGGGGGGGGCTGAGCCCCCCCTACGAAAGGTTTTTCCCCCCCTAGAAAAATTTCTATCCCCTTTTATTAAAGAAAATTGCGTTTGATTTCTGTAATAATAGAAATCAACATACAGCTTATTCATAACAGCAGGCATCATCAACAATAAGAAGTCCAGAACTCGAAGGAAAATCCCTTAGAAAATGAATTTCTAATGCACATTTTTCCTGCATTTTTAAGAAGTTTTCGCTTCACGACTTAGGTCTGTCCCATTAGTTTTCATTTTGATCAGTCTTCTCTCCATTTCGAATTAGCATTTGAAATATGATTCGTTTATCTGTGTGACTTAGGCAATGGGAAGCTTTGTATACGCCTCGCGTTTATCTTCCACTTTTAACACAGCGATTGAAAGCGTAGAGGACTTTAGTGGCTGAACATATATGAGTGCTATAATTTCGTTCTTGTCACTCCAGAAGCGTGAGTTTTTATTTCATTGAACTATACAATATTTTAGACAAACCGTTTTTATTCCGTTCCAAAAAAGATGCCGCCTTCGGCGGCATGCTCTCCTTGAATAAATAATAAATCAATGCTTTTTATACCGCTATTATCTCATCAGAAATTTTAGAGTCTAAGAAGAAACAAAATTTCTCACTGCGTGGTATTGTCCAAAC